TCTTTCTTGGAATCCGTATCCAAGAGACAACAGTTTGCGAGCACGCACCCGACGACGGTGCAAAAGCTGAACGTCCTCCTGTCCAAGTTGCTGGTGCTGCAGTCCCTCCCTTTCCAACTGGTGGACTCAGCACCTTTCCGAGAAATGATGGCTTGTGCCGCGCCGCGGTGGAGAGTGCCAAGCCGTCATTTCTTTGCCCAAAAGGCAGTGCCAGCCCTGCATTCACATGTAGAAGAGATGGTGGGCCAGTCTTTGAGCATGTCGGTCTCTGCCAAAGTGCACGGCAGCGCCGACGTGTGGAGCTGTAACTACGGTCAGGGACAGTACATGTCATTTACGGCCCACTGGGTGAACGTGGTGCCGGCACAGCCGCACCAGCAACTTGGACAGGTCACGACGCTTTTGCCTCCACGTTTGCACGTCCTTGGTCCAGCAAGCATGTCCGCCTCTACCACCTCTTTTTTTCCGCCGTGTCCTCAGCCGCCACCCCCGTGCCAAGTCCCATTACCCGACCGGCATATCACATGTGCAGGGCGCAACGGTGTCACGCTGTGCTGCACCTGGTATGCCTTGGCGAACGTAGTCACACAGGGGAGGAACTGCTGAGTGTAATGAACAGAGAAATCGACAGATGGCTGTCTCCGCGCAAACTAAAAATCGGAACCATGTTGACTGACAACGGAAAGAACATGGTGTCTGCTCTGCGTCAAGGAAGGTTGTGCCATGCGCCATGCATGGCTCACGTGTTCAATCTGGTTGTCAAGCGGTTCCTAAAATCCACCATCCCACTGCAAGACATCCTTAAAATGTCACGTAAACTGTGCATGCATTTCAGCCATTCCTACACCGCAAAGAACACCCTCATTGAGCTGCAGCGGCAGAACGGAATTCCACAGCATCGCCTGATCTGCGACGTTGCAACAAGGTGGAATTCAACCCTACACATGTTAGACCGCCTTTACGAGCAGCGAAAGGCCATCACCGATTTCCTGATGTTACAAGCGGATAAAGGTACTCCCCTGTGTAACTTAGATGTCAGCCATTGGCAGCTCATGCGTGACACCTGCCGCTTGCTCAGGCCCTTTGAGGAGGCCACGCTATTCGTGAGTCGGCAGGACTATGGGATGAACGACGTCATTCCTCTGTTGCACGTCCTGGAACAAATGCTGTTAACAATGGCTGGTCAGGGTGCGGTAGACGTGGCGCACAGATCTCAACGCCACATGACCCCTGTGGGGGCAGGACAGGAAGAAGAGGAGGAGGTAGAGGAGGACATTTGTGCTCAGGAATTATTGAGTGAAATGGGTGGTTTTTTTCCACTCAGCGGACAGGATGGAGGAGCAGGAGCATCTGGTAGAGGAGGAGGAGGAGGAGACAGAGGACCCAGACGCACCGTGGCAGTATGCTGTGGAGATGGAGGCAGGGAGTCCCTCGCATTCCTTGGCACAAATGGCCCATAGCATGCTCGGTTGCTTGCGTAGCGACAGCCGAATAATAACCATCAGACAGAGGGATGACTTTTGGCTGTCCACCTTGTTGGACCCTCGCTACCGGTCCAAAAAATGGTGGCCTTTTTCACACCTGCTGAGAGGGAGGCCAAAATTACGTACTATAAAAACCACCTATGTAGTCAGTTGGTCTCTGCCTTTGTGCGCCAACGTCCATCCTCAGACACTGTGGGCCCCTGTGCGCTCGCGTTCCGCTGGCATGGCAGCAGGGGAGGGGGGGGGTGGTAGGAGCAGTGGCAGCTCCACCAGCAGCAGGCTGCCTCAGTCTGCAGTCTGATGTCGATGAGTGAGTAGCTTTCACCAGCACCAGCAGTGAGGAAACTACTAACCACCGCAGCAGCAGCAGCAGCAGCAGGTCAGGTGGACCTGGAGCAGGAGCTCAAACAACAGGCTTGGGCCTACTTGGACAGCACCCTGCCAACCGAGGTAGACAATCCCCTTGACTACTGGGCAACGAAACTTGACCTTTGGCCCCAACTAGCTGAATTTGCCCTTGAAAGGCTGTCATGCCCGGCCAGTAGCGTGGCATCGGAGCGCGTGTTTAGTGCGGCAGGAGGTATTGTAACTCCGCGGAGGACACGACTGTCCACCCCAAAAAGGAGAGACTCACGTTTGTGAAAATGAATCAGGCGTGGATTAGTCTGGATTTCAAACCACCAGTTCCTGACACAACTGACTAAATCCGCCATGAATCATGCCTCAAACATGTGCCACTTTCAGGTCTCCTCACACTGCTGGTGTGTTTTAATTTTTTGACATAGGGTGCTGGCAGATTACGGGCCTCCTATAGCTGCTGCCAGGCCCCTAATCTGCCATAGGCCCCTATATACCGCCTCCTCATGCTGCTGCCAGGTCCAGAGTCTCTCATGGGTCCCTGTACGGCCTCCCATTGCTGCTGTCTCCATCGCCACACTCTGCTGCCATGTGCCACTTTCAGGTCTCTTCACACTGCTGGTGTGTTTAATTTTTTGACATAGGGTGCAGGCAGATTACGGGCCTCACATAGCTGCTGCCAGGCCCCTAATCTGCCATGGGCCCCTATATACCGCCTCCTCATGCTGCTGCCAAGTCCAGAGTCTCTCATGGGTCCCTGTACGGCCTCCCATTGCTGCTGTCTCCATCGCCACACTCTCTGCCACACACTCTGCCATGTGCCACTTTCAGGTCTCTTCACACTGCTGGTGTGTTAAATTTTTTTTTGACATAGGGTGCAGGCAGATTACGGGCCTCACATAGCTGCTGCCAGGCCCCTAATCTGCCATGGGCCCCTATATACCGCCTCCTCATGCTGCTGCCAAGTCCAGAGTCTCTCATGGGTCCCTGTACGGCCTCCCATTGCCTGTCTCCATCGCCACACTCTGCTGCCATGTGCCACTTTCAGGTCTCTTCACACTGCTGGTGTGTTAAATTTTTTGACATAGGGTGCAGGCAGATTACGGGCCTCACATAGCTGCTGCCAGGCCCCTAATCTGCCATGGGCCCCTATATACCGCCTCCTCATGCTGCTGCCAAGTCCAGAGTCTCTCATGGGTCCCTGTACGGCCTCCCATTGCTGCTGTCTCCTCCCATTGCTCTGCCACACCACACTCTGCCATGTGCCACTTTCAGGTCTCTTCACACTGCTGCTGTGTGTTTTAATTTTTTTTGACATAGGGTGCAGGCAGATTACGGGCCTCACATAGCTGCTGCCAGGCCCCTAATCTGCCATGGGCCCCTATATACCGCCTCCTCATGCTGCTGCCAAGTCCAGAGTCTCTCATGGGTCCCTGTACGGCCTCCCATTGCTGCTGTCTCCATCGCCACACTCTGCTGCCATGTGCCACTTTCAGGTCTCTTCACACTGCTGGTGTGTTAAATTTTTTGACATAGGGTGCAGGCAGATTACGGGCCTCACATAGCTGCTGCCAGGCCCCTAATCTGCCATGGGCCCCTATATACCGCCTCCTCATGCTGCTGCCAAGTCCAGAGTCTCTCATGGGTCCCTGTACGGCCTCCCATTGCTGCTGTCTCCATCGCCACACTCTGCTGCCATGTGCCACTTTCAGGTCTCTTCTCTTCACACTGCTGGTGTGTTAAATTTTTTGACATAGGGTGCAGGCAGATTACGGGCCTCACATAGCTGCTGCCAGGCCCCTAATCTGCCATGGGCCCCTATATACCGCCTCCTCATGCTGCTGCCAAGTCCAGAGTCTCTCATGGGTCCCTGTACGGCCTCCCATTGCTGCTGTCTCCATCGCCACACTCTGCTGCCATGTGCCACTTTCAGGTCTCTTCACACTGCTGGTGTGTTTAATTTTTTGACATAGGGTGCAGGCAGATTACGGGCCTCACATAGCTGCTAGCTGCTGCCAGGCCCCTAATCTGCCATGGGCCCCTATATACCGCCTCCTCATGCTGCTGCCAAGTCCAGAGTCTCTCATGGGTCCCTGTACGGCCTCCCATTGCTGCTGTCTCCATCGCCACACTCTGCTGCCATGTGCCACTTTCAGGTCTCTTCACACTGCTGGTGTGTTTAATTTTTTTTTGACATAGGGTGCAGGCAGATTACGGGCCTCACATAGCTGCTGCCAGGCCCCTAATCTGCCATGGGCCCCTATATACCCGCCTCCTCATGCTGCTGCCAAGTCCAGAGTCTCTCATGGGTCCCTGTACGGCCTCCCATTGCTGCTGTCTCCATCGCCACACTCTGCTGCCATGTGCCACTTTCAGGTCTCTTCACACACTGCTGGTGTGTTTAATTTTTTGACATAGGGTGCAGGCAGATTACGGGCCTCACATAGCTGCTGCCAGGCCCCTAATCTGCCATGGGCCCCTATATACCGCCTCCTCATGCTGCTGCCAAGTCCAGAGAGTCGGTCATGGGTCCCTGTACGGCCTCCCATTGCTGCTGTCTCCATCGCCACACTCTGCTGCCATGTGCCACTTTCAGGTCTCTTCACACTGCTGGTGTGTTTAAATTTTTTTTTGACATAGGGTGCAGGCAGATTACGGGCCTCACATAGCTGCTGCCAGGCCCCTAATCTGCCATGGGCCCCTATATACCGCCTCCTCATGCTGCTGCCAAGTCCAGAGTCTGTCATGGGTCCCTGTACGGCCTCCCATTGCTGCTGTCTCCATCCCCTCGCCACACTCTGCTGCCATGTGCCACTTTCAGTCTCTCTCTTCACACTGCTGGTGTGTTTAATTTTTTGACATAGGGTGCAGGCAGATTACGGGCCTCACATAGCTGCTGCCAGGCCCCTAATCTGCCATGGGCCCCTATATACCGCCTCCTCATGCTGCTGCCAAGTCTAGAGTCTCTCAGAGTCTCATGGGTCCCTGTACGGCCTCCCCCATTGCTGCTGTCTCCATCGCCACACCCATGTGCCACTTTCAGGTCTCTTCACACTGCTGGTGTGTTAAATTTTTTGACATAGGGTGCAGGCAGATTACGGGCCTCACATAGCTGCTGCCAGGCCCCTAATCTGCCATGGGCCCCTATATACCGCCTCCTCATGCTGCTGCCAAGTCTAGAGTCTCTCATGGGTCCCTGTACGGCCTCCCATTGCTGCTGTCTCCATCGCCACACTCTGCCATGTGCCACTTTCAGGTCTCTTCACACTGCTGGTGTGTTTAAATTTTTTGACATAGGGTGCAGGCAGATTACGGGCCTCACATAGCTGCTGCCAGGCCCCTAATCTGCCATGGGCCCCTATATACCGCCTCCTCATGCTGCTGCCAAGTCCAGAGTCTCTCATGGGTCCCTGTACGGCCTCCCATTGCTGCTGTCTCCATCGCCACACTCTGCTGCCATGTGCCACTTTCAGGTTCCCATTGCTGCTGCCAGACATGTAATCTGCCATGGGCCCCCGTACCGACTCCTCATGCTGTGACGTTGCAACAAGGTGTAATTCAACCCTACATATGTTAGACCGCCTTTACGAACAGCTAAAGGCCATCACAGATTTCCTGATGTTAAAAGCGGATAAAGGTACTCCCTGTGTAACTTAGATGTCAGCCATTGTCAGCTCATGTGTGACACCTGCGCTTGCTCAGGCCCTTTGAGGAGGCCACGCTATTCGTGAGTCGGCAGGACTATGGGATGAATGAGGTCAAATCGGCCATGGGCCCCCGTACCGCCTGTTCACGCTGATGCTGGTCCCACAGTGTGACCTGGGTCCCTGTGACCTGGGTCCCTGTACCCTCCCATTGCTTCCACTCTGCCATGTGCCACTTTGAAATCTCTCACACTCCTGCGGTTGTCCATTTTGTCATAGGTTGCTGGCAGATTACAGGCCTTCCATAGGTGCCACCAAGCCCCATATCGGCCATGGGCCCCCCGTACCGCCTGGTCACGCTGCTGCTGGGCCCACAGTGTGACCTGGGTCCCTGTACCGCCTCCCATTGCTCCCACTCTGCCATGTGCCACTTTCAGGTCTCCTCACGCTCCTGCTGGTTTCCATTTTGTCATAGGTTGCTGTATGGCCTCCCATTGCTGCTGCCTCCACCGCCACACTGTGGCTCCAAACACTGGTTTTGGCCCCGTGACTGGCCAAAGGAGTGAAGTGTGCAGTGATTCTAAGATCGACGGCACTCATCTGCATGTCATACTGACAGACAGTATTATTTCTCTTCCCCAGCAGACTCCAAGGGCATTTAAATTAAAGGTACAGTGTTCTGCACTAATATTAAGTCTCTCTGAAGCCTAGAAACACCCTTTTTTAAGTTAAATTCACAGCGAATTTATTCGACTCGAATCGAATATTGTCCACGAATTCGCCGAATCAGTTATGCAATAAAAATCATACCTGGAGCTCAGCTTTAAAGGATTAGCTCATCTTTTTAGAAAAAATGAAAAGGTAAACCAACACTCCCCCCCGAATAGTCCTGGGGTTTGGAAACCTTGCTGCTGGGATTTAAAAAACATGTTGTAATTCCTTTTTATTCACAGGGACTCTGAGACAGATCAGAGCGGTCCTGATTGGGCAGCACACTCACAAACTCTCTAATCCAACCAGACCTTCCTAGGGAAAGAAGAGGAAGAACAGCATGATTTTCAAACCTCAGACCTGCTGCACCAGGCTGCATGGACAGTGCTGCTGTATCACCCAGTGCTGGATTTGTAAGGGGGCAAAAGGGAAACTTCCCTGGGCCCCACTTATTAAATGTATCTTGGGAAGGAATATTTTGCCTGCCATCACCTGTACATTTTTTTTACTCTGGACTGGTATATTGCACCGTTTTTGCAGCTCAGCTGAACCGCACATAGAGTACTTACATTTGAAGGTGACCTATGACTGCATGTGTGTGTGTGCATGTTGACCTCAGAATGATATTGTGTCATGCATTTTAAAATCGTGTGACTGTCATTAAAAATGTAAACCAACTCTGTGTATCAGAGGCCTCCTGAACCTGAAGTGCTCCGGGACCCCCAAGGTCTAAATCTGACCCTGGTTTCACCCATAGAGATAAGTGCAGCAGAGACCAGGGGGAGAGGGGAGTAAGTAGGGTGTCATTGTTCTGAAAAAGTGAACTTATACTTTAAAGTTTTCTATGTTATTATATATGCATAATTAGTAAGATCTCTTTTATGACTGTTTATGGTTTAGAACTATTTATGATTGCCCCACACAGGATACATGCCTATGTGCTTTGGGCTTGTTTTGATGGCTAACTTGACATCATTATAAGACTCTTCTGACAACATTCACAAATCACCAGCAGGTGCATTTGACCTGCAGTCGATTATCTTCTGACCTGCTTTACATTCCTATAGAATTGCATGGTGATGCAAAACCTGTTTGAAGCAAAACCCCTTAACACAAGCCTTTTGGCTGATGGCACAGGAGCGCCTTCCACTTACGCTGCCAAATTGCTCTCGCTAATGAGGGTTTAGCAAGGAAGCGATCTCACTGGCCTGGCTAGTGTGGGAACCATTTCATAGAGACTGATATGCAGTCTCTTAGAGATTTCTAGACTGGTGAAATGTTACCAAAATCAGGATCACCCATATGACATCAGCCTTATGGTGGCCATACACGATTCAATCAGTGATTGATATCTTTTCACATCGATATCTCCTCATAGTAATAATCGATCTATAGTTGACAACCCATTCGCTCAATATGCCACATACATGGATTTCAATCAATAGCTGGATGATACAATTGTATGTTATTGATCACATCTCTATTTTCAACATGCGATCTCATAATCTGATCTATCTAAATTTATGACCAAAGCATCTCAGTGCTGCTAATTGATCATTTCCCACCGTGGCCCATTGACTTAGCTTGATAAAATTTGATCTAAATTGAGATTAAATCGATCCGAGGGGAAATTGTGACTTTTGATGCTTTATTAAAAATCTTGAACTTGGATGGGTACAGGGTGCCTGTGGGATACTCTAGCAAAAAAAAAGTGGTAACTTGAAGACTCTTAAATATTCTGAACACAATCCATGTAGCAGCAAATAATTGGCTGAGCTACAAAAGGACATTGAAAGCAATACCCACACCTTAGTACATGCTGACTCTAGATGCTAGATGGATAACAACAGCATACAGTCCTTGGGATCTCTCACGCTGGTCAGTACTCACTAATGTCCTTGGATAGTTGGATGCCTTCTTCCAGTATCCTACGGGCACCTCTCCAGTGAATTCTTCAGACCAGTCCCTCAAAAAGAGGTCCCTCAGGCAGCTCCAGCAAAGTCTTGCAGAATAGGCTCCTCAGCTAGCAAAGCTGGGACCTCAATGAGAGGCAGAAAACACAGCTAAACTGCCCAGAAGAGCAGCAGCTCTTCAGGCTTGGGTCCTCCTCCTTCTGAACAAGAACCCCTCCGTTCCAGGTCCCATACTATTTATGCTCCCTCTCAGCCACCATTTTGGCACCCTCCCCCAGGGATTGGCTGGGACTGCATAAATATTCAGGTGCTGATTTAATTCTCCCAATCCACTATTCCAGAATCTTGCAAAAAGCAGGAGGAAGTAGTCAAACCTTCAACCAGTGAAACACAGAACAGCCCAAAACAATCACAAGCAGCTCAGCTGATTACAGCGGAGCTAAGAACTACATTTACCTAACCTAGCACCTATCTAGGAGGGTTCTATATACAATACAACTGCAGCTTAATTAGTGCCAAAAAAATGAAAATTAGCTTACTAATATTTTCTTTTAGGTAATTGCCATTTCACATTGCATCTGCAATAATATACCCAAGTATTGTGCCGATGATTAATTCCCCTTTGAACAGTGAAGTGCAGTTTAACTGTCGCAATACAGACAGGCTACTCTACATATTCAGAGAGTGGTTATAGCTGCAGGCAGATCTTTGTTCTCAATCCCCGATGTGTAACATAACGATACTCTACTCACATGAATGCCTCTGTACATGCTTTGTTGTGAGAGCCGTCCATGCTGCCATTCATTATACGTAATCATTTATCAATAGCCAAGTCATGGAAAATATTTGGTTTACATGGCTTCAATACCAACCTCAGATCCTGGCAATCTGTAGTCCTCCTGCCACTAAAGGACCACAAGTCTCAGCTCACCCGGCGGCATGGAAATATTGAATTACCCAAAGAAAACAGATTTAATCTGAAGATATAGATTTATGGAACAAGCTGGATAAATGAATGCAGTTTTAATTAGAGCCGACTTTCCAGTGAAATTATTTATGATGAGCTGAAGAGCACATCATTAAAGCCCCCCCCCTGGCTTTTTCAGTCTCCATCTTAATCAAAATCTTTGCTAAGCACTATTTAGAATGATAATTTCAGAAAATGATCAACCATCCCTGTGAAAGCCAATTTTCATGGTGAATGAATGTCCTGAGCTAACATGAACTACCATTCACATATTTGAATTTCTGCTTCTGTGTGTGTCCAGTCTTTCAGATCCTCGTAGGCTGAAGGAAAACCAAAAAAGCATAAATGTGAACAAAATAATACAAGTACTAAAATAGGCACTCTTCAAGTATATCTGGAATAGAATCATGGCTAAATATGCAGTTGGTACCCTGGTAGTAATATTGCAGGGTCCCAACCTTCCACATACCACTAACAAACTGCAGAGGGGTCCCCATCTGGCTGTTGTTTGAAGCATTTGATGGACTGATGTTCATAATTCAATTCTTGTATAATTGGGTTAGGATTTCAGCAACCCTCCCAGTAAAATATATTCTTGCAAATGTCTGTATTATTAGGAGAGCTCAGTCCTTTAAATATTTCCTGTTAGAAATGTTATCTTAGTTGTAATTCATTATTATGATCAGGAATATAAATAACACTTTTAAAAAATATTGCTTCTTATTTTTTTGTCAGGAAACTATAAAATGATACTTATAAATTTTTGTTAGTCCTTTATCCAACTAGCAGGATGCTGTATGCTTATTTCAACACGTTTTCCACTATCGCTTTTGCTACTTTGTTACTAAAAAACTACTGTTTATAGAGCTCAATATACAAATGGGTGAATGAGTCAAAATAGTGGCTCTGGAAATTGAAATGAAACCAACACCACTGCTAAGGGGTCCAGATCCAACTTTATTCCAATAAAAGTCAGGGGGACAATCCATAGAGTAACAAACAAGCTTCAGGGGTCCAAAACAACCCCCTTCACCAGAGTTTGATTGAAAATAATGTGAATAAGCTAGAGGTGGACTGGACATTTAATGTTATATTTCTAGTGTGATTACAATCACAGGCCTTATCAGCAGCTAGTTTGGCAGCAACCATGTAACTCACTCACACGGTTTATGCCAAACCAGCTATGTAAGTTGTCTTTAGGCCCTTTGGCAGTGATGTGGCGCTTCAACTTCCATTTTTGACCCTGTCTGTTTACTTAGAGCACCACTCCAAGCGTCCATTCGGTCCACTCTGGTGACTCATTACACGTGGCTGTCGGCGTCTATGGTGCCCATCCAAGCCTTGTATACAAAGTGTAGTTGAAAGACTCTGCACTCCTTAACAGCCTGTGTACTAATTGGGATAGAAGGAGGCCTCAGCCTAGGCTCCTCCCAGGCAATGCCCCCTGACACATTTCCACCTATCCACAGGGCTCAGAGGTGCCTAAGAAATGCAACTGGGGTGAAACGTGTCAGAAGGGGTCTTCAAATGGATGGAAGCTGAAGAAGTGAAGTCCATAAAACATTATTATGTCACAAAGCATCACCCATATCAGTTGAGCCAGTAGGGATTCACTGAATACACTGCATTCTGTGAATGGCAAAGGGGTACATTGTGAAAGAGGGGGACAGTAAAATTACACTAGCACTGCATTCCTTAGAACCAGTGACTCTCATATTAGAGGTACACATGAGCTGTTCAATCCAGCAAAAAAAAAAAAGATATTGATTTTAAACTACTATGAAATGATTAGGCCACGTATTACACCTCAGGTAGAATTGTTTTAACATCAAATTTTACAAAAATGTCTTTGCCTGGAGTTCCACTTAAGGATCATTGGAA